AAAAAAAAAAAAAAAAGAAAATACTAGTGCTAAGTGACAGCAGAAATATAAACATTTGAAATGAAAACATACATACGTGTGTGTACTCACAAAATATGAGCTCTGTATAGTCTACAAAGTCGAGACAAACTCAAATAGAATCCTTTCTATTTGTTATTATAGACTAGTAGGAACTTCAGATGTCATTTTTCTTGTTAAAAAAAATATTTTTTGAGACAGCATCTCAACTTTGTCCCCCTTGGTAGAGTGCTGTGGCATCATAGCTCATAGCAACCTCAAACTCTTGGGCTTAAGTGATCCTCTTGCCTAAGCTTCCCATGTAGCTGGGCTTACAGGTGCCCACCACAATGCCCAGCTATTTTTAGAGATGGGATCTCACTCTTGCTCAGGCTAGTCTCAAACTAATGAGCTCAAGCAATCCACTTGCCTCAGTTTCCCAAGTGCTTAGAAATACAGGCTTTCTTGTTAAATCTTCAGAAGCAAAAGCATTGGTCTGTAAATTTTCTACTATCTTCGAATCAAGAATTCAGCAACAAAGGCTGTTACTTGGGGTAACCAACTGAAATTCCCCTCTCCCACTCTGTCATCTGTTCTTTCCTGCCTTCCCCTTTAGACCAGACAGGGAGAACTAAGGATGATGCAGTGGTAAAAAGGCAATTATTATTACAATATGAGCTATTGTATTGTATTATTGTATGAGCTATTGTAATTATTGTATTATTACAGTATGAGATATTACATGTCTCTTTAAGATGAAAGCCTTTGTTTCCAGTGTTCACAGTGATGTTTTAAATGTTATTTTCTCTTGTGCCCAGTGGAGGTGAAAGAAATAGCAGAGAAAGTAGCTACTGGGCAGCTCACAGTACCTCCTTGGCATCTTCAGAGTAGTTTGACTTTAGACAATGAGGCTGAAAATGGGCCTGATCCCCTGCTGAAGCCTCCCGTTAGGGGCCCCAAGAACATGGATTGGCAGCAAGTTATAGAGTATCACAAGGAAAATGATGAGCCAGGAAGAAATGGCAAGTTCGACAACATGCACAACAGTGACCATGAGAGTGACTTGCATGGCAGACAGCCTGGGCCTCAAAACTTCACCAGTAAGTTCAGTTGGGAGAATTGGGATAGGTGAGCTCTATCAGGTTACCAGTTCTTACAAATAGGTAACCTTGTGGCATGTTTCCTTTGCTTGCTTGTCTCTCCTTTCCTACCTTTCTGGGGACCTTGAATTCCAGGGGAAAGCAGTAGTATATCTTCTATCTCTTATATCTCTTCCTGTGTCTCCCACGTACAAATCCAGAGATTCATGAGTTTTTCTATTACTGAAACAGGCCCTTTGTCTAAAAGAAGCAAAATGATCTACACACACTGACCCTGGTCCCTGGTCTAACCTAGCCTTCCTTACCTGGGAGTGGAGGTAGACCACCACTGTCCATGTTTTTGCATTGTATTCCAAGCTGGAAATAAATCCACTGGCTTCCAGAGAGTCTGTGCCAGTCTAGAGGAACCTAGAGACAAATGACATTGACTGTCATCAGTTTATATATTGACAGTTTAAAATTAAAGGCTATCTGGTAATTTGCTTAAAATCAGAGCATGGGATATTATTTCACAGCTATTTGTAATATAGTCAAAGAAGGGTGTATTTATCTTGCAGACAACCTATTAGCTTGGGGATTTCTTTTTTATATTTAAAATCTGTTCCTTGTCAAGCATCACTCTTGAATGGGTGGGTAAAAAGATAGATGATCAAAGGCTGCATTTGGGGGCTGCGCTAAACAGTTTACACTACCTGAACTGAACCTAACATATGGGGACATGGCCTCGCTTGGCAGTATATGTATGCATTTCTTCTTTCAGACTGCCCTTTGCCCCTTTTATGCTATGTGAATATCACTCAATGACTTTGGCCTAGATTGTGTTACAATTATTAGGTATCAGGCAACCATCTCCTGGAAAAAATGAGCAACTAGAGCATAGTGAAGACTTTCAAGCCAGTTCTGATGCTGTGGTCACTGAGAAATCTTACAGTGTAAGTAATACGGCCTGAGAGCCAGGTTGAACTTAAGGACCTAATAACGTAGAACTGAACTGTCAGTATGTATTATGACATCAAAATAAACTCTATAGTAGTTTTTTTGGTTGGAGCATGTATCCTTATGTCATTTTCAGGAATAAAGTGGTCTTTCCTCCTTGCCTGGCGCTTTTTGAGTTAGTTCATTTCAGTGTGTTGTGTATCTTGGAGTATAGAGAGAACACACACAAGTGTCAGATTCAGCTCTGTTCCTTGAGCTTCTCATCTAGTTGGGTAGATAAGGATAAGATAAGGATAAGGTAACTGAAGTCACACTAGAGTAGGAAAAGCAAGGCTAGAGTTGTGATGAGAGTGCCTTCATTTGGAATATCCTCTAAGACCCCGATTCAGCTCTCACCCTACTGGAAGGGATGTGTTTTTGCCTGACAGCCGTGCCTCAGCAAAATCCATTCATTTCCTAGCATTTGCATTGTAGTTATAGCCTTGATTCAGGAGTTTAAGAGATTCTGGGCCA